GACCCGGTACAAGTAGCCTCTCTCTAAACTATATACTATAAATAAACACGTCTCTTACAAACCACAACTTGTATATGTCACACGACATATTTCATGTGTCATTCTATGATTCGATATACATGTAGTTAAATGATCTTTAGTTTTTCGATTACCATGTGTGTGAATGTTGTGTTCTCTAATCTAGCCTTTCTACTTTGGAACTCAAATCAATTTTAGACTTAAATATTTTCATGTTATTCCATTTTGGTTAACCCAAAATAGCCAATAATATTAGTTTTGATTATTTTTAGTACAATATAAAGTTTTTTTAGAATAATAAAAATATTCCTATATTATTTTCTTTTATTAGGTTATTTCTAAAAATTAGTTCCTAGTAATTTTGATTATTTTTGTTACAATATCAAGTATTTATTATTGTATTCTTAAAATGGTTTTTATATGAAAATATAATTAATGCAGGCATGTTTGCTTAGTTACAAAACATGCGATGGAGTAATTATAGGAAAATAGTATTTTTAATGTTATTTAAAAAATCATATTTACGTCACTTAAAAATGAAAATACTATATATACATAATAAAACCATAAATACTATTTCCAAAATTTACTCCCAAAATCGACATGTTGCAATTCCAAATAATATCGGAAGGTGCATGAAGAACGTCGTAGAAGATTTCCTGTGTATGTATTTCGTATTGGGGAAGCAAACTTTGTAATTAAATCCATTTTCAAGCTCGTCGATTAGAAGATTTACAGAATTGGGAAATTCCAACATTTACGGCAATAATCCTAAGTACTTACATCAGATGCTAGAGTTTTCTTTGAACAAGTAAATTTCAATATATCCCAAGGACTGAAATAGTCATCTACAGTATATCCAACAATTCAAGAGTTTGCATCTGAGATTCAACTACCAATCGTGAAGAATGTGGGTAGTATAAATTTTTGAATAAATCTAAGTGTACAACATTAGTTGATAACAATGGTTGACAATCATGTGTTGTCAAAATCGTAACATGTGATGTAAGAATCAGTTTTTTACAATGAATGGATATAATGATGCCAAGTAAGATGTTGCCATCCAATGTTGTCAACCATTGTTGTATATGTAGCATAATTCTAAATTTTTTATTCCAAATTGTTATATTTCATAGGCACTCGATTTCAGTTAGGAGGATATTACATTCCATAATATGTACCACACATAATAGATTCAATAGCTTGACCGATCTAACTTTGGATGTAGACATAGTCCTTTACTTTTAGTCTGATCTTATTAATTTTTGAAAAAAAATACGATCATTATCAACCACAATTTCATGAATAATGTGTTTTTAATTTTTTGACAATTGGAACAAATTCTAGACCCAATGGTAGAAAAAATTATCATTTTAATGGACAATTTTCATGAAAAATAAAGTCAAACGGACACCAAATTTTCTACAATTTCCAGGTGAAAAATTATACTANGGCAATTAGACACAAATTCTAGACCCAATGGTAGAAAAAATTATCATTTTAATGGACAATTTTCATAAAAAATATGAAGTCAAACGGACACCAAATTTTCTACAATTTCCAGGTGAAAAATTATACTAATCAAATACAATTAATTACAATTCCTAGTAAAATAATTTATAAACAATTCAATTCCCTATAATTCATTTTCTTTCCACTTATTTTTCAACTTTGCAAACAAAACATATATGCTTAGCCCACCCCAATTAATCAAATTACTTAATGAAAGGGTATTGGACCGAATTTAGTCTATTAAAACCCCTTAATGCACTACCATGGGCCAATAAAAATGACATGAACTCCAAAATCTATGATCTATTTTAGGGTCTGTTTGATTACAAAAGTGGAATTTGAGTGGAAATAAAATGAATTATAGGGGATTGAATTGTCTAGAATTATTTTCCTAAGAATTGTCAAGTAATTGTGTTTGATTGGTATAATTTTCCACTTGAAAATGTTGAAATTTTGGATATTTTGGTGTTTGTTTGACTTTATTTTTCATGAAAATTGTCCATTAAAGAGATATAATTTGTTGCAATTGAAGATAAAATTTGTTTCAAAAAAAAAAACTGCCTAGAAATNTCAAAAACAAGGAAAAGCCAATCACATGAGGTTTGAAGGGAAAACAAATTCCATGAAATATTTTACGTATCAAACATGACAAAAAGTAGAAAGTTGGCACCTATCAAACATGGTCTTAAATATCACATTAAGTGAGAATCATTTTTTGACGATTCTAACCCTACTACGATTCAATTATTTCAATAATACCTTAATTTTCCTTTTTCAATGTATAATAAGTACTACAAAATCCATGGTCATTAATGAATTTCTTGTTATTAGTTCTCAATCAATTAATATTGACATTAATCTAGACTCAATAAATCTTGATCTATATGAATCTAGAGTTATTATGGATGAATTTATTTATATTCATGTATCTATAAATTTTAATGGGTGTTTAAATTCATGTATTAATAATTAATTATTATGTATCAAATGTAATATAAAAAGATTGCTCATTTATATTATTCCATCATCACAAAAAATATAAATTATAAAAGTTGAATTTGGAGAGTACAATTGTAAATTTTATTTTCTTTAATTCATTTTGTTGACTTCAAAAAATGTTGTCAACATATGCCGGACCCACTTGTGTATGCGTAAACTTAATCCAACACGTTAATGTCGATCGACGGTCAAGATAGCTCCAGAATCAAAACGTGAGAGGAGCTCAACGACACGAGATGTCACCGTTCGAGCTTCCGGCAAGATAAACGGAACGCGATTATATAAGAAACCAATCGATAAAGAACAAAATTTGTAGTTGTAATTTAATAATAGATGAGAGAATAATATAACTTCAAGTAGTTAGAATTGCATTAGCCTTTACATGTTACATGGTGGGAGTATTTATAGTACTACAAACAAAATTGTGACATTTGGATCAATTTACACGTGGCTTCATCTCCTTGGCCCAGACATCAAACCCTAGCCATTCGGTTGACTCTCCTAATCTTACAAAATATTAAATACTCTTACATTGACAAGACAAGATACAAACACACTTTACACAAGAGTCACATCAATCACTCAAATAAAGATCTTCACCATGAGCAAATCTCCGCACATAGGTTGTCATCGACTGCTGGAGAGCCTCGGATCCGTATAGGTTCCTTGGGCTTCGGATAGTGTTTAGGCCTCGGTACAGCGCTGGAGATTAAGAGAATATATCCTATTTCCACTGGCCTGGTCCCATTGTCCAAATATGATGTCATCTATTTATGAGTAGTAACAAATTTAAAAAGGGAAGTATACA